ATTATTTGCATACTTTTGAGTAGATATAGTCAGAGAATCAGAGAGTAAAGAGAATACTCCATATAGGTGAATGTGTAGAACTTGTACATTTGTAGAATATATGTTCTATTCATATGCAGACCACATCCATGCTTCCCTCTTCCCTACATAATGAGAGAGCAGAGCCTCAGAGGGCCCCAGAAGGACACAAAAATGTGAATGGTGTTTGGAGAGCAGATGGGTTTAATAAATCCCAGTGTTCCAAATTTCACTGCCCTTTGGGAGAGTAACAGTTGAAATCGCCACTTTGAATTTTCTCAGCACTTTCTTCCTGCTGATGAAGCTATTTTACTTCCTGCTCTCTCCCAGCTCCAAACATCACCCCAGTTTTTTTTCCCTTCATTCAGGGACTTCCCAACATGCCACAATAGTTAGCTTATTTACTTATTAATTTACTTGACAAACCAGTCACCTGACTGGGGTTGGGGGAAATGACCAAATTAGTTATTTGAATAAATCATCCAGTATTCAGCTGAACTGTAGATATAGCTCTAGAGAGTTACAGCTTCAGAAAAACTAGAATCTAATGTAGGGGGCTGACTTTTTAATCATTATTTATGATTATATCTACTATAATGTTTTGGGCTAGAAAAAATCCGATGTATAATAACAGAGGGATGCACAGTAGTAGGGAAGTGATGGGGAGGAGAGCAGACCCAGGATATCTCACAGGTAGAGAAAGTGGCTTTCCTGTGCAGCAGATGAAGAGGTGCACATAAAGCACATAACAGTCAATTTAAAAAAATGTTTTTAGTCCACATAGTTTTATAGAACATCCCCCACATTCCTGGTGACTACGACATTTTGAGAGGTGGTGTATAGAGTGAGTATGAGGCAATTCATGATTCAAAGGTGTTATTGTGATGTCATAGGGAATCAAAGCTACAAGAGGCTCAATGAGACTACTCTGGGGCATGGTAAGTCATTGTGTCACTGGATTTCATCACCATTACAAACTTATCCCTCTATTCAAATTTTCTCTATACATAAAAATTGATTTTACTCATTTAGCACTTGACATTGGACTTCATTGGTCAGTGATTATCTAACTATAAATAATAATAATAATATTGCCACTAGAATATATCGCATTCCACAAAACACTTTCAAATCCATCTTTTAATTCCACTCCCTAGAAAGTCAATGATGCATTCATTTAACAAATATGCACTCAGTGATAACCATTTACAAAGGTCTGAGATTCTTGAGATATGTTGAACAAACTGTTATCAATAGGAAAATATCCCTCCCCACATAGTGCTTGATTTCTACCAAGAAAAGGCAAAAGCAAAGAAATGGAATAAATTTAATAAATAAGATGGAAATATAACACATTAGAAACTGATAAATACTATATCAGAAAAAACACCCTTCATTGCCCTTGGAGAAAAGGACTGGGAGAAGGTATTCTGAGTAGAATCTGAGGTATGCAGTGTTGTATAGTCCTCATTGAGAAGCTGGATTTGAGCAGGCTTAAAGGAGGAAAGGGAATGAGTAGAGGAGACACCTGGGGAAGGAGAATTGTATGTAGAGGGCACATCTTTGATAAGGACCCCATGGTGGAAATTACCCAGCCAGGAAGCCATGATAGAGGGAGCAGGATGAAAAGAGAAGTAAGGAGAAGAAGTCAGAATCAGAGAAGGAACTATTGTCTACATCCTTAGGGTCTGAGGGTTCATTGTAAAGTTTTTGTCTTTAAATTTAGGTTGAATGATAGGTCATTGCAGTGGTGTTACCATCTTGGATGCTAAAAGGATCAGTTCAGCTGCCACATTGAGAATGCATATGGGAGATACCAGAGTACAACTGTGATAACTGTTAAGAAATCAACATAGAGATCCAAAGGGAGAGGATGGAAGCTCTCCCTGGCTTTATAGAAGTGGAGTAGTTAGGGCTGACTGAACTCTAGATTTATTCTGAAGGCAGAGCCAATAAGGTGTGCTAATGGACTAGATGTGGGGTAGTGAAAGCAAGAGAGGAAGCAGGGCCCTGCCTGGTGGCATGGCAGTAAAGTGCTCATGTTCTGCTTTGGCAGCCCGGGGTTCACCAACCAGATCTCGGATGTAGACATGGCATTACTTGGCAAGCCATGTCACCACTTGGCACATCATGCTGTGGTAGGCGTCCCACATATAAAGTAGAGGAAGATGGGCATGACTGTTAGCTCAGGGCCAGTCTTCCTCAGAAAAAGGAGGAGAATTGGCAGATGTTAACTCAGGGCTAATCTTCCTCAAAAAAAGAAAGAGAAGAATCAACCAGATTTTTGACCTGAGTAACTGAATAGAGTTACTATACATAGAGATTGAAAAGTCTGTGTGTGCATGTGCTCATGTGTTTGTGTGTGTGTGTGTGTGTGTGTGTGTGTGTGTGTGTGTGTGTGTTGATTAGTGGAAAGTTAGGGCTAAGTTTAGGTATGTTGAGTTTAAAATGTGTATTTTGATGTCAAGTGGACAGTTGAATATACAACACTAGCATTCAAGAGAAAAGATAAGGAAGAAAGTAAAGGGGAAGTCAGAATAGGTGTGGATTTGGAGGATTTTACTGTCAGAGAACCAAAATTCCAGAAAGAGTAGTAGACACTTTTTAAGAATTGGGAAGGGGAAAAAAAAGGATCATACTAGGAGGTGCACAAAGTTTTGTGAATCTTGGAATGCAAAGGATGAAGAAATACTCAAGTTGGTTTAATGACTGATTTAAATCATGATAAAATGCACAATGAGATGACTGAATCCAAAGGAGCCAGAGGAGACCAGGATGTTACCTTTCTACATAGGGAGGAGGTGTTCCTGGGACTCCTTGTTCACCTCTTGAGGAAGGTCAAAGGTCTGAGCCTGTGTGGTTGTCTCCTTTCACCCACTGGGCTTCCTAGTCCTGGTAAAAGTGTCGATCCCCCTGGCGATGCATGATCTAGTACCAGTGACTCTGTCCCTCCTGATCCCCATGGGGAAGGGGCTCTGCTGCTCTGAGTGTATGTCCTCTGTCACGACCTCTGTCACAGAGTGCTGGCCTTGCAGTGACACAAACACAGGTGTTACACTGAGTTTCCAGCCCCCACTTAGCTTCTGATGATGAGGAGTCATGAGCTGAGATCCACAGCGTGAACATCTTCGCTACTCAGATCATACATGGAAGAGGCCTAGGGCCTGAAAGTTCTGTAAGACACCAAAAAGAGGGATGGGTGGATATTTTACGATTACTTTTGCTTGTAAATGAGAGATGGAAGGAGAATTCTTTGCTTATGATCAAGGATAAATGTATCAAACATGAATATATAGAAATCTTTCTTTAATATACGGACTTATCAATAAGATATGTAGACCCATCTGGAAATAGAGTTCGAAATTTTTCCATTTCTAAAATTGTGATATTCCATAACATTCCTTCTAATGCAAAAAGTCTAGAAAGAAAAATGTTTAAAAGTCTAGGAAGAAGGAGACATCAAAAATATTATTGGAAAGTGAGTGAAAGATTTCCGTCAAAGAAATCTCCCAAGAAGATTAAAACACATCAAAATTCAAGGTAGAGATAAAGAAGAAGATTAAAGATTTGCTAGTTTATTAGCAGGATAATATTAACTAAATTTGCGATTAATTAATAATTGTTTAGCATTTAAGCATTTTAGCATTTGGCTACCACTTACTTATTAGATGCAGATAAAGATTAAGCTGGGAGAAAGGTTAGCCTTGAATGACAAGAATTTTATTGGGAAAGCACAGAATATACTTTAAAAATAAGGCAAATATCATTACTATTTTGTCAACATCATCTACATCTTTAAGTTGTATTTCAGTAGTAAAGTTGAATTTAAACCAATAATACCAATCATGACCTTAAATATTTACCATCACATTTAGATGAATATCATTATTCCATAGATAGGAAACATATTAAGTAGCTGATACTGACAGAGAGAAAGGTTATTTGTTTAAAGTTTTACAAGAAGTAAATGGCTAGGTCAAAGAATTAGTTGAATCAGAATTCTGAGAAACTTCTACTCTAAAAAAAAATATGTCCAAAGAGAAGGAAAATGTTATAACTCCAGAGGGGTATTGTGTGGGAATCAGTGATATTAGATTCAGAGGAATGAATTTCATAATCCTACAAAATCAGTGCCAGAATAAAGAGAATTTAAAAAATAGTTGAGTATGGTCTTTAGGAATCATGAATGCATAAAGGAATGGTTTTGAGTATATTAATTTAGAAGGAAATAGAAGGTTAAACAATAAGTGGTGTAAACCAAAGAAGAAAGGATGGATCAAAAAAGAGAGAAAGAGAAAGACCGAAAAAGAGAAAGACTCAGATGCAGAGACAAACAGAAACAAGAGAAAACAAGGAAAATAAGAAGGAAGAGAAACACAATTATGGATCTGATGCTGCAACAATCTTGGACAATTCTGAGCCAATTTAAGAATTGCCATTTCAAATTCTTAACATATGAAATCTGGGAATGAAAACATAGTAAAAGAAATAATTATAACTGTGTAAAAATCTTTGTTTAATACAAGGCCCATTCACTTGAAAACAGACTCATTAAGAAATTGTGTGGAGATACCTGGAAGAAGACTGATGAGATTGCTCAATTTCTAAAATTATTATGCTCCACTATCCTCCTCCAAATGTGAATATTTCACATTTTCTGTTTTTTCCCTATGGGAAAGTTTCCACAGCAAGAAAGATTAAAGTTCTCATTTGTTGAGGCTTAGAGTATTTCTATCCTATTCTTCACTCCAGGAACCTTTACTAGACTTCAAATTGTTAGGAAGAGAATATTAGGAATGATAATTCTTAACATTATAATCAGAGTCAAGATGACCCATGGATGTCGAGTTTCTTGATCCACTTCTGTCATAGCTGGCAAGATGAAAAGAATCATGTCACAGATAAGGAAATAAGGTCGGAGGAGACCAGACAACAGTTGGTTGGATGTATAGATTCATTTTTGAGGTTATAAAAGATTTCACCTGCTTCATAGTCCAAGAAAATCCCAACACAGCAAGGCCATCCAAGGTGGAGGAGAGCTCCTGATGGGCAGGCAAGGACCATGTACTCACTCCATTTCCAGAGCCACATGGCCCATACTCCATTCTTGGGAGACAGTATGGTTTCTCCCTTTCTTAATTTAGGTCTTGACAGAGATGTAAACCCTACTCAGCTCTTTCTGCCACCATGACTTCCCAGAAACGCCTCTCTGATAAAAAGTTATACAAACCCAGGATACAGGGCCATGGGTCAAATCACTTGGGGTTGCCAGGGACATTCCTTCACAGTTCTCCATCCTGCATACTGCGCAGTTCAGCAGAAAGAGGAGGCTATGATGTGCTGTGGCAGGGACCAGCTTTATATCAACTGTGAAAAGAATTTTGTAGGACACTTGAAATGACAGAATATACTGGTAAAAACTTAGGAAGCCATTATATTGAGGAGACAGTCACACTGTTCCTCATTTTTCTCTAATAATTCCTGGAGAAAACAAAATAAGTATTTCATCTTAAAAGCCAGTAAGTATATTCTTCACTATTTTGTGGTGCATTTCACTGCTACCTCTGCATAATTCAGCACTCATTCTCATGCCAATTAAAACATGACCATTGATGGTATGACAAACTGAGTTCATAACCATTTAGGTTCCTTTCATCTACATTCAGTGCACTTGGGTGCTCTTAGGAAGATCTTCTGCAGTTAAAATAAAATTTACAACTCCCTCAGGATGTAATTTTTCTTCTTAAATTCTACAGGAAAATTTCTTTAATATGAAATTTACCACTTGCAAAAGTGGGTTACTGTGGTAGACAGAATTCTGAGATGGACCCCATCACCTTCAGACTTGAGTTACTCTCATGACTGTGTTATATTTTATGACAAGAGGTAGATTGGGTGCTTCTAACATAATCACATGGGTCCTTTAGAATCAGAAAAGATTTTATGGCTATTGGGCTGGTGGCAGAAGGGAAAGTCAGAGAGATTCAGATTTGATGTGTCATTGCTGGCTTTGATGGTGAAGTGGGTCACATGAGGAGAAAGACAAGTGACCTCTAATAGATAGCCAGGGAGGAAATGGGGATTTCAAGCCTACAAACATAAGTGCATTATTCCAAGAAACTGAATAAGTTCGGAATTGGATTCCTCCCCAGACTGCTAAGAGGAGCCCAGCCTGGCCAACATCTTGATTTTTATCTTGTGAATCCCTAATCAGAGAAGCCAGCTGATCCCACCTAGACATATAATCAGCAGAATTATGATTTAATAAATAGATGTGGTTTTAAATAGCTAAATCTGTGGTAACTTGTTACACAGCAATAGAAATCTAATACTGATACTGATACAATCTCCCTCCTAGGGAGATTGATGTGAAATTTTACTTGTAGACATAATTAATAGATGTCTAAATCCCCCTAGTAAAGAAGGGAGGATGTGAAATATTCAGTGTCTTCTCTTCATAAATATTTTTAAAAAGTAAATGTCATTTGCATAGTTTTATTTTTAATATTATAGTAACAAATACTACTACTACAATTGTTATTATTATTAGTCTTTAAAGCACTTCTAGTGATGTTTTAATGATATTCAAACGTGGCTGAATCACATACGTAGTCCATCATCTATGCTAATCTGTGTAGCTACAGTCAAGATGGTCATTATCATTGCCGAATTCTGGATGAATATATTCTGGGTCAAGGAGTTTATGTGATTTTGCAAAACTCTAGAAATTTTAAATAACAGGGATTGAAAGGTGGGTATCCAAGGAATTGTCAGGGATATTTAACATATGTTATGTCTTTAAACACCATTCTTGCTCCAGCACACTTCTTTATTTCATTTATAAGAAATCTGTGAAGTGGCTTTTAATAAGGTCTATCTCCTGTTCCTCTCCTTATATCTTCTTCTTAAACTCAATTGCTCACCATGATAGAACAATACCTTAACCAAACTGCTCATGCCTATATTCCCAGTGACATCCACACTGAAGAATGGACAGTCATTAGAGTTCACATTAAAGGGTTTTTCTCTAGCATTTGATGCCACTGAGAACCTCCTTTCTCTTTCCTGAAGAAAGCAATCATCATGTTTTCCCTCCCTGTCTACTTGCCAGCCTGTTGGGACTATTTTGCTGCTTTCTCCTCTTCTCCTCCACCACTCCCATTGGAGAACTCAATGGTCCCAGGACCTGGAACTGTTCCCTCTTTCTCAGCTCACTTCCAAAGTGTTCTTGGGCTGGCTGGCTCATTACTGTAATTAAATTACATTCATTTGCTTTGATTCCAACTGCATATCTCTAGCTTACACTTTTCTCCTGAAACTCCATATTTGCAAATTAATCTATCAAATATCAACACTCAGATATTTAACATTCATCACAACATTGATTTGTCCAAAACCCGACTCCTTGCTTTCTGCGCCACCTGCAGTTTTGCCCCTGAATATAAATGGCAATTTCATTATGCCAATTCTGTAGATTTAAACCTTGGAATCATTCATGACTTTTCTCTTTCTCTGACACTGAATATCTAATCCAACAGGAAATCTTGCCAGGACTGCTTTCAAAACATACTAAGAGTCTGTCCATTTCTCAGCACGTTTAGTACTATCACAATCATCTCTGATTGAATTATTGGAAAGTCTCTTATCTACTCCCTACTTCAAGGCTCGGCCATCTCTAGCTTGTTCTCAATAAAACATACAAAGTGATCCCCACAAAACCTTAATCCAATCTTATTCCTCCATTTACAACTTTTTTGTTTTCCCATTTCACTTAGAATAATCACACTCACAGTGGCATGCCTGTAGGCTCCTGCACTATTGACTCTCTTCTCACTCACTCTGCTGCAGCTGCACAGTCCTCCTCATAGCTCCTAGAACACATCTTCCATCCTTCCATCTCAGGTACTCATCATTTCTGTTGCCTAGAATGCCCTCATCCAGATCAGATATTTGCTGTCTCATCCTCTACTGTGTGAGGTCTCTCTTGATCACCAATTAAAAATTAGGTGCCCTACCTTTGAAATTTCTAGTCATGCTTAACTTTCTTCTTTTTTCAATGTTCTGTATCATCTAATATTCTGTGCATTTTGTATAATTTAAGTAAATACTTGCAAAATAAAGCTATAGATTTGTAGGAATTTGTTCTTGTTGCTCAGTGATATATTCCAACACTTAGAAAAGTGACTGGCATAAAATAGAAAATATTTGTTGAATTGATTAATTATTTAATTCAGTGAAATGATATGGAAATATGAGGACAGTGATTCTGAGAGTGAATTACTTGCAATAATTCACACAACTGGTATACTTTCATCTGCCCTTCAGAACATGGATTAAATCATTGAAAAGGACAGCTAATATGGGTTTTCTCATTATGGGACAAAGCTATTTCCCTGTAAGTAGTGAAACCATTATTTAGCCACATTCTGTTTTCGGTTTCTGGTATAAATTGGATTAAAGAAATTTTAAAATATTGAGAATAAGCTGTCTTAAGAATAAAATCAGACCAAACAAAGTAACTTATGACACTACATTAATTCCTACATAGAAGTAATTGATTCAGTATTTTTGGCTTTATTGATTCTCTAATTTAAGAAACTCATCAAATTAACATATGATAAAGTAAACAAAACCCATTATAATTTGATACTCTATAATTCTTTGATATCGATGATTGTTTTCTGTTTTGAAAAATGGTTCATTTAGTCCTCCAAACAATATGTTATTAAACATTTTACAAATGAGGAAATGGAGATTTAATGAAAATAGTGTTGTATGTATCACAGCTAAGATGAGATGAACTGCACTGTCAAGCCCTATGTTCTAACCAAATGTGGCTTATATGGGTGTCAGTGACTCTGTTATTCTATAAGACCTCTCACAAATATCACAATCCTAAATATCTGCTAAGCTATATTCCAGGAGTTTTATGGTTTCAGGTCTTACATTCAAGCCTTTAATCCATTTAGTGTTCATTTTTGCGTATGATGTAAGATAATGGTCTACTTTCATTCTTTGGTATGCACCTGTCCATTTTCACCAAGACGATCTATTGAATAGATTTTCCTTTCTCCATTGCATACTTTGGCTCTTTAGTCAAAGATGAGCTGTCCAAACATGTGTGTGTGTGTTTTCTTCTGGACTCTCAATTCTGTTCCATATATCTCTGTGTCTGTTCTTCTGCTAGTACCATGCTGTTTTGATTTCTATAACTTTGCAGTATATTTTGAATTCAGGAAAAGTGATACCTCCACCTTTCTTTTTTTCTCAGGATTGCTTAGTCTATTCAGGGTCTTTTGTCATTCCATATAAATTTTAGGATGTTTTTGTCTATTTCCATGAAGAATATTAATGAGATTCTGACTGGGATTGCATTGAAACTGTAGATTACTTTAGGTAATATGGACATTTTAACTATGTTTATTCTTCCAATTCATGAGCATGGTGTATCTTTTCATTTATTTATCTGTTCTTTGGTTTCTTTCAATAATGTCTTATAGAGGCCATCCACAAGTCTCAGTGGTTAAGTTCATGTGTTCCCCTCTGGGGGCCCAGGTTTTTGCCAGTTGGGATCCTGGGCATGGATATGGCACCAGTTATCAAGCCATGCTGAGGCAGTGTTACAGATAGCACAACCAGAGGCACTCACAGCTAGAATATACAACTATGTACTGGGAAGTTTTGGGGAAAGGAAGAAGGAAAAAAAAAGATTGGCAACAGATAACAGATGCTAGCTTAGGTGTCAATATTTTAAAAAATTGATGTCTTATGTCTTATATCTTATAGTTTTCAGAGTATAAGTCTATCACCTTCTTGGTTAAATTTATTTGAAGGTATTTTATACTTTATGGGGGGAGTGTATTCCTTATTTCTCTTTCTTCTAGTTTGTTATTAGTATATGGAAATGCAACTGATTTTTGTATGTTGATTTTGTATGCTGAAAATATACCATATTGATTATTTCTAACAGTTTTTTGATGGATTCTTTAGGAATTTCCATCTATAGATTCATATCATCAGCAAATAATAGAAGTTTTACTTATTCATTTCAAAATTGGATCCCTTTTATTTATTTTTCTTGCCTAATTTCTCTGGCTAAAACTTC